ACGGGGTTTCCGAGCGCACACCAAAGGGCAATTTGTGCGTTCAAGCAACGGGGTTTCCGAGCGCGCACCAGAGGGCGATTTGTGACGCACTAATAATTTCTAACCAAAAGATGAAATTTCAAAGTCCCACCTTTTTCTATTTCTAAAAAAAATCCAGCAATATGGCATCTTGTATTGGGAGAGCTTTAAGACAAAGGATTTTCATCATATTTGTTGACCGTGCTGGGGATCATACTAGATATGGTGCCGCAAGGAATGCCGCCCCCCCCCCACCAGGGAAAAGCCCCCGTGTCCTGGATGTGCTCGTTCATTCTTCAGTATTTACAGAGAAGAGCCTATTGTTAGGTTCACAAATGAGGAAACAGAGGCTAGGAATCATGCCAGAACCTTCGGCCAGGAAGAAATTGCGTAAGGATTTTGTGGTTCTGATTGTTTGTTGTGTGGGGCGGGGGTTGGGGGAGGGAGTGTACTTTTATGTGATAATAAACTTGGGGCTTATAACAATGCTTGCTGGGTTGCCTTCCTGCCTGCTGGTGGTCAGTTATCTGACCCCAGTAAAAGCTCAGAGGTTGCAGAGGCTGTTTAATTGACAGAAGGCTCCTTTTGTTCTGTGGAGTTTTTATATGCTAATTGTTAGTTTGCATCTGCCTTCAGATCATAATAGAATGTAGTTAACATTTGCTGTAACTCACATCGCCCTGTAGAAGACAAACTATGTGGTTACTAATATAGTTTAAAATGATTGCTTCTCTCAAAGTTTACAGCCCCACGTTAACTTTAATTTTTAAAACTGTAATGTGTGTATGTGTGTGGTATTTTTTTTTCCAGACTACTCAGGTGAAAATAAAAGAAAGAGACGTAATAGATGTGTGTAAATTTAATCGAAAATCCTAACCTGAGCATCAGTGAAACTGAAACTCCCATATATATGAGCAGTCAGAATCTGCATTGGCATATCCTGAAAATAAATGTATGTTCAATAAATGAAATACCCAACAACAAACAAACAAAAGAACAGATTATAGAATGAACATGCTTTCTGCGCCGGTGGCCCAGCACACATTCCCTTGTTTTGGTTGGGTTTTATCCAGGGCCAGCGTTACCACCTCTCTCCTCAGCCCTTGGCTCATGACATGGTGGAGCTGGGAATGGGAGGGCCGGCCCTTTGTAACTGCAGAGGCCTGCAGGAGAGGAGGGGGCGTAGGCTCCTGGGACACTGGAGGTCTGAGTCTCATTTGCATAGACGATGCTTCTTGAGGGGTAGTTCGTGCTCAGTTTGCAACCTGCAGGCTGTGGCTGGATCCCAGTGTCCCTGAGGCTCTTATTCCACTGAGTTGTGACACAGAATGTTTCTTTTTTTTTTTTTTTTGAGCTGAGGCTCGAACCCAGGGCGCTTGCTAGGCAAACGCTCTACCACTGAGCTAAATCCCCAACCCTTACACAGAATGTTTCTTAAGAGCCAGAGAACTGTCTGGTTTACTGGGAGTTACCAGGAGGACACAGTGCTGACAGCCAATAGCAAAACAACAACAAAAACCAGGGGAGGGGTGCAAACAGCCAGAGCAACCAACCGGTGAAAAGAACCTGAAGGCCCCCTGCTATGCCTCTCCCAAAGTGCAGACTGAGAGCCGAGGGTGAGCAGAGAGGTCTCCATTGTGCTTAGCACTGTGACTCCCTCCTCGGTCCCATCAGCTCTTTTCTGGACCACTGAGGAAAGTTTAGGACATCTTTTTTTTTTTTCCGGAAGCACCTGGAATTCAATACTGTGTGGCTGTTTCCTCATGAGTAAACCGGACTAACAGTAAGACTTCCTCAGTGGATCCTGGGGAATGAGCAGGGACCCACCCAGAAGCAGGAGCTCCCCACCCCCCACCCCCAGAGAAGCTTTCTTTTCTTTTCTTTTTTCTTTCCTTTTCTTTTCTTTTCTTTTCTTTTCTTTTCTTTTCTTTTCTTTTCTTTTCTTTTCTTTTCTCTTTTCCTCCACCTTCAGGGGATGTTTTTCAATATAAAGGCTGACAGTCAACACCCAGTGAAGTGCTGAGTGCTACAGCAGTCTGTGAAGGATGTTGCGCAATTTCCCCCATGCTGTGGTTTGAGTCAGAAATGCCCCACTCCCCAGACCCCCAATGGCTCCTGGGCTTGATTACTAGTTCGCAGTCAGTGGCTGTTGGGGACGTTGGGGACTCATCATTCAGCTTCCTGCTCAGGCTGGCTACCAAGCCTTCCCTGCTATGAAGGCTTCAGCCTTATGGAAACCAACATTAATTGCTTTCTTCCTTACATTGCTTTTGGTCTTGGTGTCTTGGTCTTATCACAGCAACAGAAAAGTAACTAATACAGCCTATATTTTATAACCCCCCCCAACACAACAAAGAATTATCCAGGAAAAAAATCATCATGTTGAGAGACCCTAATATGAACTTCTAGAACAGCACTCAGAGTTGAGGAGGTATTAGGGACACAGCTGAGACTTGCTGTTGACAGTCCTGACTTTAGGTACTCTCCTAGGAGCTGTTGATGACCTCTGGAGACAGTAGCTAGCAGGCTGGGAAGAGACAGAGCCAGGCCTTGAACCTGGGTGGCCTGGCTTCAGAGTCTGTGAGTTATCTATCACTCTGCCCATCCACCCAGAAGAGAGGGGCAGAAAATGGCAACAGCTGAATCCTCAGCTCTGGAAGCTTGTGTCTATATTCAAGAACTTCAAACAAAGATGGCAAGAGGTCGTAAGTAGTGTGTGCTACCTATGTAGAGGTTGTCCACAGACAGCTCTGGGGTGCAGACCAGGGGTGGGCTGCAGACCAGGGGGTGGGCTGCAGACCAGGGGGCGGGCTGCTACCTCTGCCTGAGTGGACCCCGTAAAACTTCTTCTCCAAGCCAGGAGATGCCATATTTTGAAGCGGGGCCAAGAAAGGAAGACACTAAAGAGGGAAGACATGAAGGGGTACAGAACACATCGAGGACCACCCCCCCAGGAGGGTAACTGTAGACCCGTCCATGGACTTGCAACGATTTGTAAAGATAACAGGTATGTAGTGGGAAGTGGTGTGGGAGCCAGCTCCAGAGCCAGGTGTGGTGGCACACACCTATGGCGACAGCACTTGGAAGGCTGAAGTAGAAGTAGTTCATGTTCAAGGCCATCCTGGGCTATAGAGCAAGTTTGAGGCTAGCCTGGACATACAGTGTGACTCTCCCGACCAAGCCACGTTATCCCTGATGATTTATCCGGGTGGCTTAAAGGCCACAGCTCTGAAGGAGGAGGCAGCTTTGGTGACGCTGTGTTCAGGGTGCTGTCTTGGGGGGGGACACTGCTGCCCTCAGCCTTGCCTAGCAAAGAGGTTGACATGGTACTTCTCTGACACTCCCCATGGTACAGAAGCTGCACCTAACCAGCCACACTGACCAAGTTCAAGCTGCCATAGTTAACTCCGCCCCAACGGGCTCTGATAGTTATCTGTGCTGTACCATACCAAGGCTCCAAGCCACAAACACTAAACTTGCTTGCACAGTCACAGAAAGCCCTGTTAGGTTATTTCCACCTTCCTAGCAAGAGGTGGCAGCCTGACTGGTGAGAATGTGGCTTACAGGGAATCCAAGAGGCCCTCTTCCCCCTCTCTCCTTGCTCAGTTCCTCCCCTACTTCTGGCCATCCTCTTCCCAATAAAGAGCCTACAGTATTAGGCTTCCCGTCAGTGACTCAGTGACACAGGGATAATGAGTGACAGCACCCACAGGCTTCGTCTGCAGATCTCCAGGAAAGGGTGACTGCTCAAACAGCGTCTGACACGTAATGAACACTCCACCAACATATGGTGAATTGACAAATCAATTGGAAATTCATTCTCAACAGTCAGCTCTTTGGAGCCTCAACTCATGCTGTTGAATCTGCCTCCTCCCTGCCTCCGTGTCGTTAGGTATGAGTCTCAGAGCCATGAGAACAATGCTTTCTGCTAGAGGTACCGTGCCTGCCTTCTCTGGGACCATGGCTTATGCAAGGCACCCCGGTGCACCCCCTCTTGCTGCCTTCTTCCTTTGGACATCAAGACCTCCTTCTCTGGATCAGCTCATCCTGATGTCTTCTAGACTTAACTTCTACCGAGGTAACTCTTCTTAGTTTCTCTCCCAACTCCTGGGCTGGCTTTGCCCTTCAGTAACATCTCAGTGGCTGACACTGCTCACCCAGTGGACAGAGGCTCTGGGAAGGAAATGCCTTGCACTCAGTACTCCTGCCACTACCCCTAAGTCCTACCCCTTACTCTCCTGCATGGCAGCCAGGGAGGCAGCCCAGGGCGGGCCACTCTACTGCCTCAGTCTTGAGTGGCAGGAGGCTCCACCCCAGCCTATCCCTGGAATGGCAAGGACACGGGAAACAGAATCTCGCTGGGTCAAATCAGTTCATAATCATTATTAAAAAAGAAAAAAAAAAGTCTGGTACCCAGATCAAAAGGAAATACAAAGGACAGAATGCTCAGTGGGTGAATCATGGGCTGAGCTCAACCTTCAGAACCTTCAAAGTCAAGGCTAGTGCTACTCTGAGAGCCTCCTTGCCTTCCTTCTCATCTGGCGCCTAAACAAAGGGCAACGATGCCATCCACACCAAGGTCTGCATCCCAGGAAATGAACTAGGCTTGCAGTTCATTCTCCCTGTGCATCCCAGGGAAGCTGTAACTAAGGAGGCACCTTAGAACCCTACCCCAGAGCACCTGTTAGATTTATCTGAGGAGTAGGCATGATGCCTACCACAGGCTCCTGGCTGTGGGACGTGTTCTCATGGCGGCTGTCCCAATAGGAAACAAGTTGAACTGGGCCTGTCCAGGAGGCCTCTAGGTGAGTCAAGGCCAAAGGTGAGGAAGCTGTTGGGAGGGCATCACAGAGCAAGTGAAGGTGGGAAGGGAGAAAGGGAATCCAGGCATTTGCACTCATTGTCTCTTCATGAACCAAGGTTTGTTAGGAGACTCCTGCCAGGTAACTTCCTTAGGCTTCACAGGTCCAAGTCACATGCAGATGCTCAAAATATCAACCCATCTTCTTTCCTCCCCTTGGTATCAGTTTCCCTGCATCCTCACAGCTGCTCAGCATCCTCACAGCCGCCCTGCATCCTCACAGTCACCCTTCATCCTCACAGCTGCCCTTCACCCTCACAGCCGCCCTGCATCCTCACAGCCGCTCAGCATCTGGCCCAGAGTTCAGTCAGAAGAAGTATTTGCTGAAGGCCATCTCTGACACATGGACACTGTCCCAAAGAGGAGTTCCTGCCCTGGGTTCCACAGACTCTGGGTGGTGACAACCCCAAGATACTGTAAAGAACTACAGAAGGGACAGCCAGTGACCTTCGTCAGAGGAGGCTTGTGCCATGGTAAGCCACAGGCAGGAACCACACCAGACACCTGCCCCTTCCTCCACTCAGCTGTCAAGCCCAGATCACCTGGACCCCTTTCTCTGATATCTTAGGGCTGTGACTGGCTGGCAATCATGCAGTAACTACACAGTGTTAGGCCCATGTCAGTCCTCCTGAGGGCCATTGCTTCTCTTATTTGCTTCTCATATCCTCAGTTCGGCACAGGGTTGTGTATTAAATGGAACGGCATATACAAAGGAATAGCCTGCCTCCAGCTATTAGCAGCAAAGACTCAGCAAGTGGCTCCTTACCAGGATGGGTAGAACCTGTTATTACAAGGAGGCACCAAGTTGGCAGGAGGGTAGGGAAGAGCACTCACTGGGGAGTGACATCTGAGAACTCAAGGCATACCAGTGCAGAGAAGGATGCTGGGAGGAACAGTGTCCTGGTCCCAGTCAAGAGATGAGCATGTGCCAACGCTCACAGCTATGAGAAGAGATGGGGCTGGCATGGTAAGGAGGCAAGGGGGCCTGGGAACACTGCTGGACTTTATTCTGAGAGAAATGAAAAGGCATGAAGAGTCAAGTGAAATGCTTGGCTTTCAAAATGTAAAGAGAAAGACAGATATACACACGTGTGTGCACAGGCATGTAAACTGACAGATCGTAAGTAAATTACATAGCAGACTTTCTCTGGGTGGTATCTGAATCACTGATTGTCAGGATGAGTTGGGAAGTAGGGAGGTCAAGAATTTAGTCCACTCCAAACCTCTGTTCCTAAATAACTGTGCCCTGTATGTACAGAAGGTCTGAGGGTCGGTGGAATGGAACAGACAATCCAGATCAGCATCTAGCACAGTCCCCGACAAAAACTGTGGGATGCTGGACAACCTAACAAATCTCTCAAAACATCTGTCCCCTCATTTGCCAACCCATAACCTCTCCACCTGAAAGCATGGGCTACATGTCACATCTTGGGACACGAAGCCCTGTTTCCTATTATAATGAACACTAGGGAGGGTCATTACAAGCCTGCTTGGTAGATTCAGCACAGACGCCTTGTGAAAATTAATGACACTTAAATCCTTCGGGCTGAACATGCCCTGTGTGTCCCTGAAAACCTGCCTCTAGCCTGCACCGCGCTGCAAGCCAAGGGCTCAGACGACAGTAGCTCCAGGCTCTCTGCACTCTGGGCTTCCGGCTGGACCCAGAACTGTGGGCAAAATCAGCAAGAGACGAGGCAGGAGAGTGGGTATGGCCAGAAAAGAAACTCTACAATCCAGGTGGGCTGAGCCTTGTCCTCCCATGGGGAACCGCTCTCTACACAGTCCTCCTATGCCCCCCTACCTGGAGGTTTTCAGGGTCCCCCAGAGGTTGCCAGCTGTAGTCAACTGCTTTGCCATACCTCCCACCTCCCACCGCTAGGCTTCTGAAAAGAAGCCCTCTCTTCAGTTTGCACCATGCCCTCTCTGACGTCGCCACCAGTTTCTGAAAAGAATCCTAAAGGTTATGTCCAGTGAAAGCTCCCTTTTCTTGTACTCCTCAGCTTGGGCCTCAGGCCTGGTATGTGGCCACCTCTGGAACATGGGGCCGTGGGGGACCAGAAGCACAAAGGACATGCCAGCCAACACAGACCCTTGCACATGACTAGCATAGGGTACCAGTGGACTGGGTGGGACAGAACACACAGACCACATAATCCTCACGTTCTGAGCCTGACTGCACATGTGAGTTAGGGGATGGGAAATCATCAGATTCCTGGGGCAGGGGTGAGAACCTTCTGTATGAACCGAGGACCAAACATGGAAGGAAAGACACTGGTGGTGGTGGTGTGTGTGATCTTGGTGAGAACAAAGCAGGATACTTTGTCTTGAAAAGTGATCAATATGGCAGATTAATGCACAGAAAACAGAGCGCAGATGAAACTCCCTAAAATATTTATGATGTTCGAGTGGTTTTTTTGAACAGAAGCAAGTTTTTCCTGTGCATGCCAGCCCACTCCATCAAAAGAACACTTTAATAAGGCAATTCCTGCAGGAGGCTCGGCACAGGCGTCGCAGCAGGACGCGGTGGTGTGTTTCAGAAGATATTCATGGTTCTCTCTGGAAAAGAACATTTTGGGAACTAGGAAGCCCTTCTCCTTTATCAATCTGGCCATTTTCATAACCAGAGAAGTAATAATAGAGCGGATGCACTAGAAGCTTCTGCTGCTTTTTTGCCTTAAGGGAAAAAGGAGGTGGTGGGGAATTCTGGGTGATGATAATAGTACCATATATTAAACCTGACATCATTCATCAAGTGATGGGCAAGAGGCTGTGATATGTGACTTTTAATCCTCTGGGCTCAAGTCTCCACAAGAGCTGTGGCTCCAGATGCTGCACAGCAGCTCTCGTCCTGGCCTCACTGCTAGAAAGCCCTCGAGGAGCCCCGCTTCCTTTCCTCAAATATCACAAATATTGCAAGCTAGGCTCAGGCTGGTTTGGCTGAGATCTCTTGGGTTCTGAGGTGCCTCCCAGACACAGCCTCATTGTTAGTTGCTCACAAACAGTCTTCACCAACTTCCCTTTGCTGGTTTCTTACCAGTCACTCTCACTCACTGCACATTTACTAAGCAACTGTAATTCAGATTTTAGGAATGGTGTCCTGTGCAGGACTATGTGAACAGCAGTAAGATGAGTAAGGAAAAGCAGTGTGACATGGGACACAGACCCCTGGCCAAAGGACCTTTATCTTAGGAAGAATGCGGCAGTACCCTCCTGGTTAGTAGGTGCCAGTGTCTTAAAGGATCATGCCTGCTTTCAGACCCACAGCAGGGTAAGGGTACAATGGGAAGGTCTCAAGACACAGAAAGAACATGGGCATGTGTGAACTGACGGGGATGTGTCAAGTGTGTTTGGGGTTGAAACAGCAAAAAGGACTGTAGGGGTCCAAACACGACATTGGGACAGCAGAAATAATGAAGCCCTGGCACCAGCACAGCCAGTTTGCACAGGTAGAGGCTGTGGATGAGGCCTGTGCCATGAGGACCCCAAGCGAGGTCTGTGCACGTCCAACAAGACAACCAGGCCACACCTCCTAAGAGTGCCACTCCCTCTGAGATTATGGGGGCCAATTGCATTCCAATTACCACATTCCATTCCTGGGCCCCCATAAGCTTGTAACAATATCATAATGCAGTTATGCACTTAGTCCAACTTCAAAGGGTCCCATAGTCTATCACAGTCTCAACAATGTTTAAAAGTCCAAAGTTCCAAAGTCTCTTCTAAGATTCATGCAATCACTTAACTGTAACCCCCTGTAAAAATCAAAACCAAAAAGCAGATCACGTATCTCCAACATATAATGCACAGGATATACACTACCATTGCAAAACATAGGGAAGGGAGCAGAGTGAGGAAATACTGGACCAAAGCAAGACCAAAAACCAACTGGGCAAACTCTAAACTATGCATCTCCATGACTGATGCCAAAGCACTCTTCAGATCTCCAACTCTATTCGGCTTTGTTGACTGCAACACACTTTCTCCTGGGCTGGCTCCACTCCCTGTTAGCAGCTCTCCTGAGCAGGTATCCCGTGGCTCGGGCCTCTCCAACATCTCGGTTTCTCTAAGGCAATCCAGGCTTCAATGTCACAGCTTCACACAATGGCCTCTCTAGTCCACCATTCAAGGACACCCCTGACAACATGCCTTGAATCAGCGGCTTTCCTTAGTCTCAGGGGCAAATTCCATAGCCCCTTTCTTCTATCCTTAATGCCAGAGCCACATGGCCGAAGCTGTCAAGTTCTGCTGCTTACTGGGGCTGCTGGAACATGGCCCACTTGTTCAATTACATCTTCATCAGCTTTCTGTCCTTCACTGCCTAAGCTTGGTTGTCCTGAAACGGAATCTCTAGACCAGGCTGGCCTCAAACTCAGAGATCTATCAACTTCTGCCTTCCCAGTGCTGGGATTAAAGACATGCACTACCACATCTGGGCTCTAAGATTTTCTTTAGTTCCTTTTCACAAGTTGGAAACTTAGCTGAGTGGGATCTTGCCCTGAGGTCACTGTGGAATCAAAATAAGCCCAAAATACCTTCACCCTAAAACTAAGGCCTAAGACTTCTCCTTTTAGCTACAGGCCATAAGTTACTGGAATAGGCCAGGAGTTACTGAAACCAGTCAGTCCAGATTCCAGAAACCAGGAAGTGTAAAAGTAGAGTCACAAGGTAGGAGGTAATGACTGCGGGACTATGGAATGTCCTCTCCCTGGTTCCCTAGGTAACTGTTTGACCATAGAATGTCCCAACCCTAGTTTCCATAGTGACTGTGTAATCACCAGATGCCCCCATCTAGGGGCAGCCAATGAGAAATGGTGATGGGCAACCACCTCCTTAGAAGTAAGATTAAGCCATGATTTCTAGAAAGTCCCTAGAAGCGAGCCAATCAGAATTGTACCCATACTAGCACCCCTAAATGATGTAACCTTGTGAATTTTGCCTTTAAAAACTGAGCTTTTGGCCGGGCAGTGGTGGCGCACGCCTTTAATCCCAGCACTCGGGAGGCAGAGCCAGGCGGATCTCTGTGAGTTCGAGGCCAGCCTGGGCTACCAAGTGAGTTCCAAGAAAGGCGCAAAGCTACACAAGAGAAACCCTGTCTCGGAAAAAAACAAAAACAAAAACAAAAAACAAAAAACTGAGCTTTCAGAGAGGTGGGCACTTCCTCCAGCCTCCACTTTGTTGGATGTATTGGATGAAGTCCCTGCCTAGGCTTGTATTGCTTTTGGATTAAACCTTACTTTTGCATTCTGGTACACTCATCCTCAGTGGTCTCTCTGGGGGGTTGAGATCTGGGGACAGCAGTCACCACTCCCTTTATTCCATTTCTTAATCCAATTATCTCCTTAAACACATGGTTTAGCTCTATTCCACTTCTTGGTGCCCCTATTCTCAATGTGTACATTTTGTATTTTTATTTGATCAGCTTGCTCCTTTTCATTATAAATCTTCATTAAAGTTAACACCAATAACCAGAGAACAGAGTCTATACTGTTTTGAGATTTCCTCTGCCAATGGAATTGATCCAAAAACTCTTCACTTATGCCTCAGGCAGAGTCTTCAGACAAGGTCAAAAAGCAGCCCCATTCTTCACCAAACTATCACAAGAATGATTTCTAGGCAACATACTACAATTCTTCTCCTTTGAAACCTCTTGAGCCAGCTCCCCACAGTTCAAATCACACTCAGCACCACTGTCTTCCATGCTCCTGTTAGTATGGCCCATTAAACAGCACTTAAAGCATTGCAATGCTTTCCTAACCCCAAGTACCAAAGTCCAAATTTCTCCAAACAAAAACATGATCAGGCCTATGACAGCAATACCCCTAGTCTCTGGTACCAACTTATTTCTTAGTTAGTGTTTCTATTGCTGTGAAGGGACACCATGACCATGGTAACTCTTATAAAGGAAAACATTTAACTTAGGTGGGGGCTTGCAGTTCAGAGGTTTAGACCATTATCATCATGGCAAGGAGCATGGTGATGTAGAGGCAGACGTGATGCTGGCTACATCTTGATCAGGAGGCACCAGGAAGTTGACTAAGTGTCATAGTGAATGAAGGTGGAGCAAAAGAGTCCTCGAAGCCTGGGGCCCCACAGTAACACACTTCCTCTAACAAGGTCACATCTCCTAATAGTGCCACTCCTTTTGGGGGCCATTTTCTTTCAAACCACCACAGAAACCATGGTCAAGAGATTTTACTTAATTGAGCCTCTTCCAAATACAGTCAAATTTTATGCCAGAGCCAGAGGTACTAAGAGTCCCCAGGAAACCCTGGTAGGCCCAACTGTGTTACAGTAAGATAAGGCATGATGACCAGAGGGCCAGGATAACATCAAGGCCAGGGTGAAAGGAGAGAATCCCCACAGTACAACCCTGAAGGCAGCAAGCCTGTAGGACATAGGACTGTGATTTGGAATGAGCTCAGGAAACGCAAGCTAATTTTAGCCACAGCCAGAGAAAACCATGATTCAGATGATAGAATGCTGAACAAAAACTCAGTATATGACCAAGCAGAACAGGACCCCAGTGACTGGTCCCTCCAATCCACAGGTAACCACGCTATACAGGAGAGCCGCATCCGCAATGCCAGTCTCATATCTGCCCTCCGGCTTCAAGGCAATTCTCACTGCTCAACTCTGCCATCCTCTAGGAGCCCTAGGAGCAGGGCCACTTGTATAAACAACTCAAGTGGAGACAGGGCTGGGGTGTCAATGCACTCAGTAAAACGTTTGTATTGCAAGCATGAGGACCTGAGATTGATCCCCAAAGCCCACATTTAAAAAACACAAAAACAAACAAAGGAACAACAACAAGGCACAGTGGCGTGAACTTGTGATCCCAGTGCTGGGGAGGTGGATACAGGTGGATCTCTGGGGCTCACTGGACAGCCAGCCTAGCTTACCCAATGGGACCCTATCCAGTGAGAGACACATCTCAAAAAAAAAAAGGAAGAAAAGAAAAAAGGAAGAAATGAGGGAGGGGAGGGGAGAGGAGGAGGGAAGGAGAAGGGAAGGAAGGAGGGGAGGGGAAGACAGATTGGTCAGCCCCTGAGGAATGGCAGCCAAGGTTGTTGAAGTAGTTTGAATGTATCTCACAGAAAGTGACAGTATTGGGAGGTGTGGCTTTTTTGGTATGAATATGGCCTTGTTAGAGGACGTGTGTCACTGTGAGGGCAGGCTTTGAGGTTTTCTGTGCTCAGAATACCGTCCAGTGTGACAGTCAACTTCCTGTTGCCTATAAGATATAGGATACTCAGCTACTACTCCAGCACCATTATCTGCCTGCACGCCGCCATGCTCCCCACCATGATGATAATGGACTGAACCTCTGAAACTGTAAGTGAGCCACCCCAATTAAATGTTTTCTTTATAAGAGTTGCTGTGGTCATGGTGTCTCTTCACAGCAATTGAAACCCTAAGACAGTTGTCTTCTGGCTTGTGTGCTTGTGTGCATGCACACACATACATGCCCACACACATACATGCCCACACACATAAACACACACAGATAAAGAAGTCAAGTTGGTCCCCTAAGGGTCTCTCATATATTTGAGCATCACAGACACACTTCTGTTGATACTACTACTCCATCCTATAGCCTGCTTTAGAAAACTGAGGTAAGAGGGGGTTGGGCAAGTACTCCAGATGGGGGTGTTGATAATCACACTAGGGATTTTAGAGTGGTCCAGAACCCTCCAACTCATATGGTGGGCTCCTCCAAATGCCGCCTCTTCTCTACTAAAACTCTCTTGAGTTCAT